TATCGGGTGCCATTGCAATGCCCCATCCATGGATTCAAATTCCTCAGCAACATTATTGGGTCGCCTTCTTTTATTTAAATCTCTTGGGGAGGTAAGCCACGGAGGTTCAAAGAGTTCAAGAATTCAGGTGGATAAAGTGTTGCCTGATGACTGTCCTGAATGGTGCCACCGCTTTTAAGGATGAAAATTCATCATGGGATTGATTGTTTCATGATTGTTTCATTGAGGTGGTCCACAACCACTTTAGTTCCTGTCGATATGCCTCGTTTCTGGAAATAAGCGGAATCTCCAGAATGGTTACCGACATCCCCATAGACATGTTGAATGATAGCTTGCTCGGAGTCGTTTGACGTTTGACGTTTGACGTTGCTCGGAGTCGACACCCCATAGACCCACATGAGAACAAAGATACCGATAAGACATGTTCCTTAATCTCATCCACATCTTATTGTTTAGCAATATTCAATTTCGTCTGCATCATTAGCCCGGGATTGTCGTAACCTATCAGCTTCCCTCCGTCTGATTTCTCCTTGGGCTTCCTGACTTCTGTTGGCACAGGCTTCTCGATGGTTCTAGAATGTTCTAAGGTGTTCTTGTGGGACAGGTGAATGGCTGCACGCACAGACGTACGTATGTACAGCTCCCCTATTGTATCGTAACGTACAGAAATGGGCGGCCTGTTGGGAAACAAACAGCACTCAGCGATGAAAGTATTCGGTCTCGATGGTTTTTTATATGTGACGTCACTGTACACGCACCGGGGTTTTTACAATGCTTTAAAGTTACCGATTTCCACCTCTCCTTCCGTCTTCCCACCAACCCAACTCCCTGGCCTCCGCGCACATCCTCAGCCCCCCCTTCTCCTTTACCCCTTCTCCTTTATATGGCACAGCAACGTTGAGTAAACGTTGAAAGTATTCGTAGGCTCGACGAGGAAATGGGAATATCAACTACGCGGATTAAACGTAGATTTTGAAGGAAAAAAAGTATGTGGCTTTTGCAATGACTCCTTCACTCGTAGAGTTTCGCAAGTAATACAATCCTACCAAGTAATTCTTCAACACAAGAGATTTATTCATTTAACAATTTTAGACAATTACTCCTCATATTAATATTTCTAGAAAGTCAACAAGAATATCCATTTAGAGCAGGATTCATCATATGACCACTACTATAGCTCCAACTCCTCACACTCATATTCTCGAAACATCAGTCACTATGAACTGCAAAACTAAGAGAGTAGGTCTAGTTAATAATGACATTCTTAAATCTAGATCAATAGGTGCTGTCGCGTCTATTACCTTTCTTTAACCCCTTCCCGCCACTAAATTCAACTTCCTCGTATTTCTCTCTGAAAGCAGTAACAGGAAGAAAATTTGGCATACTTCTTCATCTCACGTCACAGAATAGATCTAGCAAATTTGAGGCTGAATCTACCCGGGGTTGTGGAGAACACTGAATCTCGTTTTTGGAGGATGTGAACTATATTCCAATTTTTTTTCCTCCCCACCCTGGGTAGCCACTCCTGGGGGGGGGGGGGGGTTTCGGAGGAAAGAGACCAACCATGAGAAAGACTCGTAGATCACGAAAAGTGACTTTTTTGCTGTTTGCGAAGCTCCATTTCGTCATAAAAAAAAACAAATTAGCTCTCCTTCAATTTGGCGTAGAGTGTTTGCTCTGGTCCGTCCCCCAGTGTTGCCAGATACCGTGCCGAAGTTAAGCCAGATTCCAGACTGTTTCAACCTTGGTATTGGCGTCTGGATCCTCTGCTTTTTAATGTATGAGACTTTTTAGCGCTGAGTTCAAGAGTTGAGCTGATAATGAAGCGGTGGTTAGCATTTGATCAGATGGTTGATCGATGTTGTCGGATATGCCGATATCTTATCCGGACATCCTCGAATTAAAAGGATGGCGCGTACCATGGAGTGCATGCTTCTTGAAGGCATTCTCTCCTCAGACCTATGGTTCGATGAAGTCTAGATAGTTCCACGTCCCACTGAAATAGTTCATGAAACTCGAAACAGGTCTTCACACGGTCTAACGTTACATGTCCTATGATTCTATGAGACTATGATTCACCCTTATAGGCATAATTGGCGCCTTAAGTCGAGAATTTATTTTCTTATGAAAAGAAAAAGGTAGGCCTTGGCGTGACCTGAAGGCAGGCTGTTGGTTAGGATCAGGTATAACGATAGTGAGTCCCGTAGAGAGGCCGGGGGGGGGGGGGGGGGGGGGGGGAAATGGGGGGGGGGGGGGGGGGGGAGGGGGGGGGGGGGGGTGGTTGAAAAAAGGGAAAGCCATTGTAAATAGGTTTTCGTATTACTACATATTAATATTCCTGATAAGGGCATATTGAACGTGATGTGCACAGTTCATTAAAGTGTACGGTTTTTGCACTGCTATTATGAGCATATTGAGAATACTGTATCCTCGAACCGGTGAAGAACAAGCCAGTGAAGAATAAGCTGGTGAAGAACAATCCGGTGAAGAACAAGCCAGTGAAGAATAAGCTGGTGAAGAACAATCCGGTGAAGAACAAGCCAGTGAAGAAGCTGGTGAAGAACAAGCTGGTACATTATTTCTACAAAAATCCCGAGGGTGCACCAGGTCCTCACAAGTGCACAAGGGCAAGAGGAGTGCACAATATCCAAAATGGTGCGCAACCAATAGAAAGTGCTCAAACACCAGAAAGTGCACAGACGCCAGACAGTGTACAAACGCCATACAGTAGCCCTTCTAAGTTCGAAAAAAAAGTTTTCCAACCCGCCGTCTTACAGTGACACTTTGGCCCCATGGCCAAATCCCTTTACCCATGGTGCGATACACTGCCAAAAAAGGTCACTGCTAGGAGGAAGGTTGGATGCGTGGGAGAAACCCACATTACCAGCTTAGGCATAGGCCTATACATACAAGGCCTAACAAAGGTATACAAATAGAAAAAGACTTAACACACTGCTCGTATTGGGTCACATCCGAGGCGAGGCACATGGCAGAAGTAAGTGGCAGGGAATGGCATATCTGGCGCGTCTGCCTTCACGCCTTCCACCTCGACAGTGTTGCCAACCCGAGCAGGAAGCGAGGGCTATCTACCGGCAACAAACATTCATCAAAGTGACTGCCAAATAATGCCAAGAAATCCAGGCCCACTGGGGGATTGTGAACCATGGCTGAGCTGCACAGAGGTCACTCCCCCAGGGGCTACAATCATTCAGAAAGAGGAGAGAGTGACCACCTCCCATATAATTGCGAAAGTAAATAAAAACCAACTAAACCAACATATAGCGAAACAAATCACCATTCATAAATCCCGGAAATCATTAAGAGAAATATGACGGAAAGGCAACGTGTCACTATTAAACACGGGCAAGAGAACATGCGAGTGTAGTCCATTACGGCAAGCTTCATTTTAGGCCTGAATACACAACTTCAGCGGCGAGGCCTAAAATAATCATGAATATGTACAAGGAATGGCTGAAGCCTAGACGGGCTGACGATGACAAGTATCAACACTTGGGTCACAGGTCAAACGAGAAACAAGAAAATGAAGAAAAACAATAAGGTAGGACGTAACGTCACGAAAACCCGTTCCCCAGCCCAGACAGTCTTCCTTCGACGTAGTTGAACGGTTACTCCGTCCCATGCAGCACATATACCACTCACTGATTATATGTTGGACAAACAAGTACACCTCTTCATAGCAATGTCCTATTCATACATGACTAATAGAATGACCCTGATATGAAGGCCTACTGCAGGCTTGGATAGTATGATGTGTTTTTAAGCGATTTCTCCTCTCAGTGGCAACATCAATATGCAAGGGCTCAAAATCATCAGACAGTCAATAGAAAATAAGGGAACCACCTCCGTCCTTATTCCCATTGAAGTCCACATCCATATCTCATCTGCTCCACAACAGCAATTACCTGTTGTACTCTAGTTCTCTCTCACCAGTGAATGAAATGTGAAGTTGAAATTAGAACAACATCGACACACTCAGATCAAACTTCCGTTGGAGATATGAGAAAAGGTCGTGATGACTCGTTTCTATTCCTAACTGTCCCTCTTATGCTATGTGTCGCAATGAGGGAAGGCAAACATCTGCAAAATGTGTCCTAGAAGAAGGAAATGACACCATAGCAATGTTTTGATTCGGACTGACATTAAAGGTCATCATGTAGCTGCCTCAAGTGGATGACACTTTTTCCTGGCAATATGGAACCTTTCAGCACAATTTGACATCGCAGTATTCCCAAGAGGAACTCTTTCCAGTTGCATTAAAACACCAGGGCCCGCCAAAGCGTACTGCCGAAGTAGGATTCCGACAGAAGTTGTGAGCAGGATGCAAGTCGTCCGGGAAAAAGCCATCTCCTCCAGAGTAACTTATTATCTCATTGGGATCGGTCGGTGTACGGCTCATCCACAGTTGACAAGGGTAACCAGATCGCGTAGTATTATTCGTTCCCATATACTTCTCTCCTTTCATGTTCTGTTTGCACTCCACTGGGCCTACAATAAAAAAGAACGATACGCCAGCGCTATGAACGCGAAAATTAGGAAAATGTCATGCCCTCATGTTCCTTGAGAAATAAAGAGAGTGAAGGTGAGTGATCTCTTCAAGAAAGCGAAGAAAAAAAACTCACTAATGCAATTTCCTGAGACGCGAATATCGCATCTTTCTCCTTCTGTCCTGGGACAAAAGAGAATATTGCAAAACTCCCATTGCATTGAGTTGTCAGAATTAAATAAACACCATGGACCATGACGAGAGGCATCAGGATTACGACAAAAGTTGTGACTGCCATCAACTTCATCCGAAAATGTTGATGGGAGGCCACCTACTGTCCCATCATCATTTGGTGTAGCTAGCCAATTTTGGCAGGGGAATCCAGAAATGGTCTCATTCCGCCTTCCCATGTATTCGCCACCCATTCCAGTCAGCTTGCATTCGGGTGGATCTAAAACAAACAGATCGCAGTCAAACTGTGAAGCAGTCATTTCCATCACGATGCAATGAGGGACTCACCGACGTTATGACAGAAAGGAATGTCGCAGTATTCCCACTTGATGTCTGGATCAGAGACGAAGCACCACGGCCTTTCCCTGAACAGAGAAGGGTTCCGACAGTAATTATTGTGGATTTCTGGGTCCAGATTGAGAAAGTTCCCTGCATAATCGCTCTTGCTTAAAAAATCCCAAGGCACGTCGTACGGCTGAGATTCCCATTTAATACAAGGCTTTCCTGTCTCAGTCACATCCTTCGTCCCCACATATTCCTTTCCTTTCTCCGTCAGTCGGCATTCAGGATATACGATCCCCTCGGCTCCAACTTGAACTTGATTCTCACAGAAGGGAATGTCACAGTATTCAAATGTAAAATTGTTTCTTCCTTTAATGAAACACCAAGGAGCGATGTCTTCATCCGGGCTGCGGCAGAAGTTGTGCTCCTCGTCGAACTCACCGAAATCGGGGAATCCCGGAAGGTATTCTTCTATGGTTGCTTTAAAGTTACTTGGAAGTTCTGAGCTTCTCCAAGGTTGGCATGCGAATCCTGAATGGCTCACGTTCTTCCTTCCAATGTATTCACCGCCCCGTTGAGACATCTTGCACTCTGGAGGGACTGTTTATAAAACAATAGATTTGCCAGTGAACAACTTCTTACTTTTCTGTAGGGTGTAACCATCATCCAAAAGTTGGGAAAAATCGAAAGGTCGCTTGAAGTACATGTACATGGTAGCTTTAAAAAGTTCGTGGGGAAACTCCAATGTAGGCATTTCGAAATGTAAAACCACTATGAAAAGTAGTGGTGTAGTAGGTAGACATGCTATGAACGCCCCAACACTAGTTGATTTTAATTAGCAAATAGTACCATATGTTCGAGACGCAACCTTTGTGTCCCTGACTTGGTATCTGGTGTATAACTGTCCTGCTCATCGCTCTTGGTCCTAGCCATTCTCGCCACACTTTCTGTGACGATGTTACCACTAATGGGATGTTATTCCGACATAGCTCCGTACGACTCTCATTCTTCCCGAGAATTCAGGGAGTGAAGAAGGGACCAACCTTTGGAAGTACTCTTGAAGGGAAACGACGTTGACGTAATACACGAATATTTTTTATGCCTGTATCCTACAGCGTTTTTCACTTCAGTTAGACAATTTTTCACTTGACTAAGACACCGATGCCAGGAGAGGAGGCGAGGGCGCTAGTGCCCCTGGTGACTAGCGACATCTTTCTTTCCTTCGAATAATTAGGCCTTTTCACATGAATCAAACTATGTACTGGAAACGATGAACCGCATGCATAACGATGTTGTCAACGGGAGACCTTCCTTACCGAATTTGAATGAAAAGGCTCTAAGTTTTCAATTTCCCATCGGCTCAACGATGTAGAAACACTCGATTGTCGATGGACAATCCCAGATCCACCTTAGATAGGCCAAATCTAGCCTACGTGAGTTCTGCGTGGGGAATGACAATTCAGAACCCACGAACGATGCCCAAAACTACATCTGTTTTATTGAAATATTAGGAAAACAGTAATGGGTGGCACGAAAGCCTAGTTTTTCACTTCGACATTTGATTATCATTTCAATATACTGTATTGTGTATTAGGGAAGGTTCATATTGAATTTCCTATCTTCAGCAGGAAATTAATCGTCATCGTCGTCGCCAATGTCATCACGACATCTGCACTTAAGTATGGAGTTCCTAGTTTATGCGTCGATCCACTATGTCATCCTCACCATGCACCGTGGTCGAAGTCAAGTGAAAAACACTGTAATACAAATTTTGAAAGTCACATGGAAGTTAGAAAATGGTGGAGTTCCATAGGGACTACACGATGAAGGAAACGTTGCATATTGCGTATTGAAGAACTATTTCGGTATGAAAAGACTTCATTAACGAATACAAGGGCCCCTCGCTTTTCATAGGAGATTTTAATGCACACGCCCCCGAGCTCTGGTTTTATGACAACACCAACGAAACAGGTTGAATCCTATGCGACTTCATAGTTTCCAGCTGCTTTAGCATTCCGAATGACGATTCCCCCGGATTCTTGCTTTGCTCACGGTAACCCATACAAGATCGACCTCGCACTCGTCAACGCACGGTTCCTCAATTTTTTTTCAAGATTTCTCCATAGGAGAGGACATATGGAGCGATCATAGTGAAGTGCAACTTCTCTCTCCTCTCTCCATCTGTACCAAGTAACCTCCGCTTTGACTTTCGTAATGCCGACTGGTGCGCTTTTCAAGACATAGTGAGGGACAAACTGTGTCAATGTTTGACACAGTTCCAGTTGATGTCTCATAACTCGAGTATGACGTCTTCAAGTTAACTTAAGTTTCAGTCAGTCATACTCCTACTTCCTAGCTTTCGATTGGTGCTAGCCGCGTATCAACTGGCCTCCTATTGCTTCAGCTACAGCTGTTCAAAGTCAACCATGTCTTTGACATGGTTTCGTCCCTCACACTCGGACATACAGAAATTCGAATTTATCTATATTCTGTGTATTTGCCTTCGGCCTTCAGCACTACCAATACCCATCAAGGTATGGTCTCGTTCAAGTCCAAGCAAATTTGGTCAGAAATGGCATCCTATTCGGTTGTGACTGGCCGCAACAGCTCGTGGATGCTGATCGGCTCATTTTCGTACACAGCTAGTCTTCGCTTCAAGTCCTGCCCGCACGCTCAGAGAAATCGGTAAATCGAAATGAAATACTTCTCTCAATTTTCGCGTTTCGATTTATTTTTCAAGAGAAAAATAAATCGAAGAGAAAAAGACATGAACTGGATTTTCGATTTATATCTCTCACTTCCCGACCGTGCAGGGTCGCCTGAAAGGCGTTAGCAAAATCAAAATGCGTCTATAGCGGAGTCGGAAGGGTGTTTTGAGCGGCCTTGCATCGTCTAGACTCATGTTAACATCTGCATTCCACTTCATCCTGAAGAGGAAGCCCCCTCCCCCTTCCTCCCTCCCTCCGCCCACGAACCCTCGGGCAATGCATTGACAGTCAAGGGATTCACACGCAACCGCCTGAGTGCATGGCCTCTTCGCCACTTCACCTACCCTCCGACCCGAGCGAGTTACCAACATTCGATCGGGGAAGCCACCGATGGAAACTTTTCAGTCGGATCATTAACACAATAATGAGAGACCGACGAAATGACAGGAACTCGCTTGCACATCATCAGAAATCTTTCTCTCTGCGTGATTAATAAGCCAACCGTTGTCTGCGATGAATTCGATATCAAAGAGCATTAAACCTTCTGTAATCCCCCTTAGTGAGGATTGTAATGCATTTTGTCGCATTTTCCCTTTTGTTTCTCAGTGTAAGAGGAATAACACTGCGAATTTGGATATCGGCGTTCAGTATGAAGTTTCGACACAGAGAATGATGCTCGGCAGGCTTTGCCTTTGGGAAAATATTCCCGTCACCTTATATAGGAATTTCAGCATTTCTCCCTACATTTCGTCATTTGAAAAACACGAAACGGAGGGTAGGCGATTGAAATTCATCGAAGAAATTGGATTTCGGCACAAATGACGATATTCGGCACTCGGGCCCACTTTTCAACCGGATCGAGCAACAAAAGTGAGGCACCTGTGGAATCGCATACCTATTTCGACTCGCAAACCTGTTAGGAGTTGCTCTCGCACTAGGAATGGGTAATAACGGGTTTAAATTAGAGTGACATCTTTCCAAATTAAGATGTTTTTTCGCTATTCACTGAAATGCGGGTGGAACTTCTGCCTATCCCGCAGCCCTTCTTACCGAATTCCCATTCTACCGAGAAGCAATATGTGAGTATTCACTCGCAATCATATCAAATTCATTTTTGCTCGTCGATAGCGAATTTTAGCCAGAACGGGTCGCGCAACAATGCATTCCAGATTCCGCTTCGAATCTTGAGATTCCATTCACCGTATTCCACATTCAGTTTCATGTACGACAGTAATGGAAGAATGTTCCCTTCGGAACGCCGAAAATGACATTTTATTGCCAAAACCGCCTGTCTTCTAATACAACCTATCCCTCATGGACGAAAACGGACATCCTTTTGCCGGAAATGTGGTCAATTTTCACCGATCCTTCTCTAGACATTCTTCAACTACGGAATGCCGAAAATGAAATACGAATCTCTCGCCAGCAGATCCCGATTGACATACAGCATTTTTTTCACCGTAAACTCGATTGTAGGCTGAATTAATAGCGTTTCTTGCAGTCTTAAAGGTTTTCATTACTTGCATAATGAAATAGCCCTTCCCATTCCCCTCGAATGAATACCACATGATTATCCACGGGGGAAGTCTCAAACCTCCACCTAAGATCCACACTATAGCACTGAATTCTCGTCATAATGATTGCTACTTTCATTCCCAATTGCTTTGACACAATTATTGCCTTCCATCATCAGGATTTTGCAAGAAACTTTCTCATTGACGAACAAACACTGCGGACGATCTCGAGATTCTAGTCGCCGTATTTCATTTACAGTTTTGCTTCCATAGGAAACGCCGAAAATGACATTTCATTGCCGAAACAGTATGTCTCCGAATGAGATCCAGCTCTCATGGATGAAAATCGGTTCTGATTTGCCGAAACTGCTACCACTTTTCACACATATTTCCAACGACATTCTTCACTCGCCAAATGCCGAAAATGAATTACAAACCATCAAAAATAATTGCAAAAGGCATATTATATTTTCATCTTTCTGGAGACCCAGAACTTGGAAACGATGTTCTAGTAACTTGCGAACATCACATCGCCTCCCTCGCATCCATCGCATCCCTCGTCCAGAGAATGGGACGGGATGAATGGTTACAGTTCGGTTATACTGCTTAGAGCAAGTGAGTGGAGCATTACCTCTGCAGTACCAATATTGGTACTCTTGAGAGATGACTAAGCTCAGCTCAAATAGTATAACAAGTATATTGAGTACCATTAATAAAGAAAGGAAATGGGCAATATCGGGAACCTGCAAACCTTTTATGGGTCCTGCACATTCTTGCGACATATGTTTGCATGAGCAAGAAATTATACAGGTGTAGGCAGTACTAATACTAGAAATACAAATGCCCATACCATGGAAAAAACCCTACTCTGTAATTAATTTTCCCCAAAAAGCAGCGCCAATATTAACCCCGGTGATCATTCCAATTGTAATGCCAGGGTATCAAACCCCAAAAAACCTCCCCAAATCCTATAGGTCAGGAGTCTTATACGACCATATAGAATCCTATAGGTTTTTCGTATTTGAAAAACCTATTGGAAAGTCTATAGGTTTCCTATGAGAAATATCTATGGGTTTCCTATAGGACATTTCCGTAAGGGCTATAATGGAATTATTACCTGTATCCGTGCACATGGGGATATCACAATATTCCCATTGAACATCTTTGTCCATGACGAAACACCATGGCCTTTCCTTTCCGGAAGGGTTCCGGCAGTAGCTCTGGTGCGACCAGGTATCCAAGTTGATGAAATGAGCAGAATACGTATAGTTTGTGAGGAAGTCATCCGGTGTTCCGTAGGGCATCTTGTCCCATCTCAGGCACTCCTTTCCCGATTCCGTCTTATTCACTTTCCCAATGTATTCTCTTCCCTTCTTAGTCAAGCGGCATTCTGGATACTTATGCATCTGTTCGCCTGCAAATAATTGAATTTCATTTCCATTCAGACACACAATGCCATATTGAGGGTAGGAGTTTGTGTCCAACGCAACAGTACTCCTCCAGAGGGATTTGTCCAAATACTTGACGAAAAGGAAATCGCTAGAACCTTGAATCTGTCCCTACTTAGTAATGTATTCGCTGATGTGGCAGGTACATCTTATTAATGAAATTAATGCTTTAAGTCTGCTTGCATCATTCAACGCGCAGACGTCTCAAGGGAGGATGCTACATATTAAAATGAAATTGTCACTTCACACTCAGAATTTTGGAAACTTCGTTTTTTCCTCCAGAATAATAGAATCGATGGAAAAATTCACCATTTTTAATGAAAACTCCAGACGTGGAAGAATAATTTACAAAAAGGCCACGACATCCTCTCTGGTAGTTTTCAGATATGAATGAAAGTACTTTAATTGATCTAATACCCATAAGAAAATATCCAATAAGATCCGATAATGTTTTTAAAATATATAATTTCTATGGGCTTCTTACAGGAATTCTACAGAGTTCTTATAGAATCCTATGGGATATTTTATAGGATCCTGTAGGAATCCTATAGGAAACCGAAAATATCTTCATGCTTTAAATCCCATAAGATCCTATTGGATCCTATTCATTTTTTCCCTTAGGGTATATTAAAAATATATCGGTATATTTCTTTACACCGAACACAACAGTTGACAGTAAACATTGTGGTGATGAATTTGTGACTAACTCCTCCATTGAGAAGCTTCTCTTCGCATTTTCAGGAACGTTAGAGCCCATCGAGGAGAGAGAAAATGAATTGTTTCCGGATAGCCTGTAGGTGTCGTAATGATTGACATGTCAGGGGAAATATTAAGGAAATATCAACGTCAATTACTGAACAACTGTACTACATACCCGGAAGCTAATGGTGACTGTTCATATAGGAGAAGGGAATTTTGTACCTTATTGCAACTCTCAGGATGTTTGAATGTAACAATGAGATTAAAATAACGATTTAGCGACAACGTTCAGGATATGAATGTGATTACAATTTCACCTGAAACTTTTAATGGGCTTATTAAAATGACTATTAATCCTCACAAGTGAGGGAAGTTACTGAAAAAACGAAGCAGAATAAAAAAAAAACCAACTTGAATCCCACGGCACATTTTCCCGCGTTCAGAGGACCATACACTGTAAAGAAAAAAATTTGCCCCTCTGGGAACTCCTGAGAGCACGTAATAGAGCACCTGGAGGTGTTTTTTTTTTTACCATGTTAAAGTGTTCTCGATTCCCGATATGTGCTTTCCAATGCGTTCATGTGTGAAAGGAGGTGCTCCATGAATGTATTCCCATCTGAAGGACAAGTTTAGGAACACTTGGGGTCGGGATGCTAGGACACCTGGAAACACATGGCTGCAAATGGGGACGCCTCGCTATGATCGGGAGATCCATTATACGTTAAATAAAGACTTTCTACTAGGTTCATTCGTCCCCTAATTTTCACTGGAAGCTCTCAACTTGATACCGATCATTATGTATTGGGAATAGAGAGAAATATAAACATTTTCGAAAGTTGTTCGTGCTTCCCACAATACTTGGGCCTATGGCAACAGAGGCAGGAAGTACATCATGGCACCACATTCTCAGTGCCTGATTGTCTGATTGTGCTATAACCTGCAGCTTTGTTGTTTATCGGTGTATAGTGAAAAAATCCGTCGAAGTCGCCTACAAACTATGAATACGGCCCATCTCTTGCATATCTGCGACATGATAGCATGATCTAGAAAGGCCTATTGTTCACTACATTGGTATTACAATAAATGGTGAACCTGGTCTGGTTAGCCTGGACTTGATTATTCAGAAGCCAATCAGCCCCACATAGGGAAATCAGTGACACTGATGCATCGAGCACAAAATACTTTCCCAAGTTACTCTCAAATATGGTTTTAATACCACTGAAGACATGCCTGAAAGCCTGTAGTGTTTCTGGTACGGTGACATCCTGTTAAGGAGGGGAGAAAGGCAAGAACTGCAATGGCTTTGTCATCAATAATGATCACAAGCGAATCAAGCTAGTAGTGTTAAGATTGTGTTTAGTAAACTGTGAGGAAACTGTTAAGGGGTCTAACTTACCTGTGGCATGATTCAGGTTCATGGTAACATATAAATCAAATTTCAACTTGAGTGATTTTAAATGATAGTAGCTGGACATGTGGTGCTGGGCATGTGCGTCATGAAGAATGGATGGAGGTGATTATTTGGCATATTTGTAGGCCTAATTAACAGCTCTAACTTGCATATTCATTTATCAGATTCTTATTAGGATGAAGTTAATGTAGTGGTCCCATGAGACTTAAAGGCATCAAGTGTTCCATTTGGAAAAAACTCACAAATTCAACATTTTCTCCATATGTTGCAACCCTCTATTCCCTCTTCTACCACTTTTTTTCCATGGAATACTAATTATTGGGAATCTCTAGGACTCATTTCAATGATCAGTACCAAGTTATTCTTGAAGAATGCCCACATAAAAAGGAAGGAAAGTAGGTACTTCTTCCTTGGCAGAACCCTTAATTGGTAACATTTTGCATTATTAGCCTCAGGAGGATTAGGACAGAGTCGGCAATGTCGTCATTGGTGGCAGCTCAGGTTGGAAATGCTAAAGACATTCCAATTTTTTTTATAGTTTTGGGATTCATGAAAATGCTTATCCTGTGTGATGAGATTGTCAAGTTCTTGGGTGCGATTTGAAGTTCCGAGTAAATCTTAACATAATGGAAAATGGAACTGCATATCATTGTCATCACTCATGAAATTAATATTGCAGCCTGTTCTTTTTATGAAGCAGATCTCAGTTAACCATCAGTCAAAGTCATCAAGGAAAGAAGAAAAAAATTAATGCAGCAGATGGAGGTGGCTCTTGCTGGCATTACACAGAGTAAGTCATGGAAGGTAGGTATTATAGATCTTGACTGTAGGCATTACATTAACTAGTGCATGAAGTTTATTTCTAAAAGAATGCAATTGATGGATGTGCCTAAATGTTAGACCTCTGCTTGATCAGACCAGAGGGACTGTTATTATTTCATAATTCAGGCTTTTATGGAGAAAGGTTTTAAGGAATTTCCTAACCTCATCTGAGTCCCAATGTGCCATTTAAAAGCATAAGCAAGGTTTAAATGGAGAGGATATGAGTTCATAGGCCTTGAAATTTTAGTTTTGGGTATGCATGTTTCATGCTAGACTTTTCTGTGCAACGTTAATTCCCTGATGCATCAGGACCTGTTTAGCAATACTTTTCTGCCAGGATATCCATCCAGTTAACTTGAAGGTCACATGATCCCCTGGAACCTTGTCCTCGTTTGAGTTTATGCATCTGTGCTAGTGTGTCTATTGAAAGTGTCTTCACTTTTCTTGTTATGAGACTATGGACTTGGGATTGTATCCCAATCACCAGATCTCCTTCATTTTGTCATGGAATTAACTGAGTAGTGAAAAACAGTCACTGGAGGCATACTTCAGTGATGAAAGTGGATGGCTGATGAGAGTGACAAAGCAAGAAACTAATGAGTTGTCAAAAAAAATGTTGCTGCAAATATTCAGCAGAAAAATGAGTTTATGTCATTAATGTATCCAATAGTAACAAATGCATGTTGCTTCCTTATCACCATTAGCCATCCACTATATTTACTAGACTAGTCACCTTTTGGCTGTTTTCTTATCGCTGTCCAATTTCTTATCCGAGTGTCTGGTTCTCCATTAATGACTGAACAATGAGTCTCATGAAAAGTGGTTAGCTGGAGGCTCTTCCAAGGATAGCCTGTAGATTTACATAACAACTCTGCACCCATTGAAATGAGTGCATAGACTCACAGGAGAGAAATGTATATGTGGACCATGTCACCTTGGAGTGGAAGCCTTGTTCTTAGCAAATTCTTCAAACTTTTTGAGATAACATCAGCTTTTTTCATAGTTCAAGAAGTACAAGTTGGCATATTTCATTATGAAATGCTGGAATACTCAAGCCACAGCCAGAATGTGAGGGATTCATCCAGCTGCTGACATCAAAATATTCAAAAACACTTACTTGTGAACTTATAATATCCTGAATTTGATGAACTTCAAATAGAATAACTAGGTTTCATGACTGCACAAAAAGGAACAGGTTTGGCAGGTCAACCTGTGTGGAAGTTGTAACAGAGTGTGGCTATGATAATTATGTCAATCAGGAGTTTAGCATGAAAAATGGTCTTTACATCGCAGAAAATTGGTTTTAGCAGGTGGGCACTAGGAAAAAGTTACTGCCACCATAGCCCATGTTTAGCCATTATGTAATTTCCTTTCTGGGGTTCTTTGCTTCCACAGGTATATTAATCAGAAGTATGTACTTGAATTTGCGGAGTGCTAAGAAAATCTGCGACAAGTTTCATGGGTGATCAACAAAAGTTGTTCCCTGTTGTTTCACTGCACGTCTGATGTTTGGACTGCACATGATCTTAAATGGCTTGGTGTTATTGCTACACAAGAGTGACTGGAAAGATCTGCACCCAGCATATCCCCAGTGTTCAGCAGAGTTTCAAGTGGCTAATTTATATTGTGCATAGTGTCCTCTTGGTTTCCTCATTTGCAGCTATTTATTTCACTTAGTTTCACCATTCTCTTATTTCAATTTTCGCCCATTTATTTCTGTATCTGCCCGTCTTTGTTGGGAAGAACACATCAAAGGAGCACCTGAGGTGTTCCAAAAGTGTTGCGTTAAACGCGTTCTGGATTGTGCTTTTCAGATGTTCCGAATCGGAAATTTTTTTTACAGTGTGGGAGACGAGGGGATTTTCGATGGAAAGAGACGAATCGAAATAAAGATATGGACTTGTAGATCCGCAATAGTGTCATTTGTTGCTTGCGATGCACTATTTCATCGTAAAAATTAGCTGTCGTTAATTTAGGCTCAGCGTGCTTGCGCCAGTCCCTTCCTCAGGGTTACTTGATATCGTCTTGCAGTTAGATGCGATTCATGACTATTGTCTTCTAATTAGAATTCTAATTTTGTAACATATGATACACATTTGTCCTGAGTTCATGGGAAGAGGTGAGACTGAGACTGTGGCTAGCGATGATATTTTTTATTAAGTTTGATATGGCGATACCGTGCATGGTCATCTCTCATGATGATTATGCCCAGCGTGCATTTCATTATCTGTGGAATTTTATCTTCAGACCTCGTTGAGATGGTTCGAGTAACTCCAGATTGGCCTAACATTACTCCCCTCTCCGAAATCGGTTATGAAACTCGAAACACACTCATAGTCGGTTGAACACTACATGTCCCTTCTAAAATGCTTCAAGAAAGAAAGTTATCATTTGTCTGTAATCGGCCTGATGTCATTCTTCAACAAGACATCTGGAAAGCCTTTGGATTCTCTCATATGGGCCGAATTGACCCCCTAACTCGTAGATTAAGGTTGCTTTGAACGGAAAATGTAATCTTAGGCCTGACATGAAAAATATCCCAGGGTTAGGCCTGTGCCTTACATTAGTGAGTCCTGTAGAGAAGGTGGGAGGGTGGTTGATGGAAGGGAAAGTATTTGAGAAGTTTTCACATTACTTCACAACCATTACTCTACTTCTACTCGATTCATTTCCACTTTATATAAATTCATTATTATAACAAGATAATCATTAACTTCCACGTAATTTCTAAGGCACACCATCATTGATTATTTTCAAGCAGCATGTGCATGGCAAGCTCTACTATCCAATCACATCTTAAGATTTCAGTAAACATTAACGATATTAATAAAATCGGACCAATTCCAGGGGATAGGCATTGCAAAGATGCTGGATTTGAGTCAGTACACTCTTACATTCCTGTAATACTAACGGTCTTGTTTTCCACTTTCGTACACCCAGGTTTCAGAGGCCTTTAAGTTGCATTGTATAGTCATCATGCTTTCCTGATTTTTACACTACCCTTCGTATGAAATCTTATGGAGAGACTGAAGTATGCCACAATTTTAATTCATGCCATGCTGCTGGTTATCGCTGCCTCCTGGCCATGCTGGCCTATAATTATAAATGCAGTCAAATACCTTTCGCTCTGAACATTAACTCATTCTAAATGCCTTACGGTTGTTAAGTTGAAAGTAAAAGCATGTGAACAGGGTAGGAAACGCATACCACAGTACGAACTTACCGGTAAATTTCACAAGATAGGAGGAACTTATTGAATGAAATTATTACATTTCATGGGAACGGAATGTTATTCCTCACAGTGGACTGCTTTCTGTTTGAAGGAGTTGCACCAAGCATCTGGCGACGTGTAGGAGCATTGAGACGTATGGAGAAGTAAACCATCGGAGAATCCATTGGGATGATCACAGCGGAACATCACAATCGCTCCTGCAGGTGCTGGATATTTTCCATTCCAACCTTCGAATGACAACTTGGCATTCGAGATCTTTGCGTATTCTGTCAGGCACATCCCTGGATTTTGGAAAAATCACAGTCATCTTATTCAATACAAATAATATCTATGATCATGTCTAAAGCATGGACTCACATTGAACGTAGGAAGAGTATCCATTAGCTTCTACGAGATCGCTCTTCCCGCTGATAACCAGCTGGCACGACCCATCGGATTCCCGGAAATTGAAGGCATGGCAGGGAGGGATCGACTTCACGCACTCCATACTGCAGGTTCCGAAGGTCATCGCCGCAGTTTCGTACGTGACGTTATTATATCTCTGTCCTCTGTGCACAAGATGATGGTGGATGAAATCTGTTGATGTCACTCGGTGGAAATATAGGAGGACTAAATACAGTAAGGCCATCCTCTTCATTGAATGTGAAAATAAGGACTTCACAGGCGTGATGTTTGGTGCTTGGGAGGAACGGGAATGAACCATTAGGTGAAGGTGGAACAGGAGTAGAACTCGTATAATATGCGTCACGAAATGGAGACGTGGAGAAAGTAATCTTGAAATGGACTGCGTTCCCCTTCACAGTCACGAAGGCCAAAAAATTGCCCTCCATTGGTGGAATATTTCACTTGTTAAGCAATATCATGCATGCGAAAGTGCGACGCTCATGGGGAAACCTGATTACATTTTATGAGCCGAATGAGAGAAAATACTTCCTTTGCATCTTCCTTTAGATATTTTTTGCATGCAGCATTTCCCTTTCTTTTACATGTGCAGTATTACACCAATATGAGAAATAAGTCCCTTCGATTTCTAAAGTCATCCATCTATTAACATTCTGACAAGATTTTGTAAATTTTGTAAATGACTAATTTTTGCAATGAACTCTTCAGAGCCATTGTAATCTTTTAACTCTCCTTTGCCTGAGAAGATATTTGAAAGAACCTCCATCCCATAAATGAGTAACGAGAAAAGTGTTTCATTTATTTTCACTCTAGAGTTGTTTTATTCCTCCTTGGTACTAATGGTCTTGTACAAGGTGGGCCATGAAACACATTGATTTGTCTCTGTATTGAATAGTTCAGGAATGGTGCAGTATTTTTGAACTCCAGTGCCGTCATAAGAAGGGGAATTAATTAACTTTAGAATGGTACCCCATTTTTCGACAAAAGATAACAGGGAAAGCTTTGAACGGTTGCTTTTCCAATCCCCTTGCGAAAAGTGAGCTGCCGCGGCGAGACCTTGTTCGGTGCGCTTTCTGTGTTTCCCCTTACTGTCGAGTGTTCTCAGCGTCTGGCAGGCAGCGCGGCTCGGTAACTTGTCCGTTACATTCTAGAGCGTTGTGTAGCGTTTTGCTCCTCTTGTTGCGCTGTTTTTTGAAGCAGCTTTCGTTCGCTCTGGAACTTTGAAGCTGCACGATCGTTGTGAGTGAAACAGATGAAGCTGTGTTTAAGGCCTTGTGTGAGGAGAAGCAATACTCTGGATCAAATAATGGAGGAGTTTCCTAATCGTAGATGGCAGTGTGATTTTTTTCGAACTTTTAAGACTGATTATACGGAAATCTAAAATGTGAAATTTGAATCCAAAAATATTCTTTATTTTAAAGCCAATTCAATGCTCTTTCCAATGAGTCCTGCCTTATTTATCTACCTCTTACCAGTCCTGAGATATAAGCAGCCAAATTCGGCGTGTTTTTCTTTGCCCACCCTGTATATGCGCTTCCATTGTGTGCTTGCTGCCCCTGGGAATGTATCTTTGCAAACACCCTCCTTCATTTCCAAGCGATGTTGTACCAAAATTGAGAAGTTGTACTACTGTAGCCTCCAGACGTTTTAGCGTACTATTCCCCTATAGAGCATCGTTCCGCATTGCCTGCGAAAAAGACTATGGTTTCATCATTGGATTCCATGAATTCATATTCTATGCAGCAGTACGAGTTGCGTGAAGTCTTATTGTTCCAATTTTTGAAATGACGGTGAATGCGTGATATCGCTGAATGTGAAGCCGCCTGGAATCTTTTGTTTCAAAATGTTTAAAAATACTGAATTGATATCTAGGTAAATTTCAGATTACGAGTGGTGTTCCACAAGTTTTCGGAATGATTTTCTAAAAAAAAATACTGTATCGAATGAGTAGAAACTTCACACACATATTCTTCGACATCTCCCCTGCCTTCAAAATACTCGCCCTGTTGATCCAAGCACTTTTGCCATCGGGAGGGCAAATAATATATTCCCTGTTTCTAGAAGGCAGGCTGCTGCTGTCGGAGAAAGCTTGTTACTGCGTCCTGGAGGTCCCCTCCTTCCTTGAAATGAATACCCCATAGGCGATGTTTCAGGCATCCAAAGAGATGGTAGTCTGTGGGAGCAAGATCAGGGCCGTAGGGCTGATGTGGAACGACTGTCCACTGAAACTCAGCAAGAAGGGTCAAAGCGGTGTGCGGCCGGGCGTTGTCATGAAGAAGCAAGAGTTTCTTGCCGCGCAATGCTGGCCTCTTCTTCGAAACTGCCTTCTTGAGTTTCTTCAGAGTCTCGCAGTATCGCAGAGCGCTTATGGTTGCATTGGGCTCCAAAAAATCGATGAGCAATGTCCCTTGATCCCAGAAAACTGTCACCATCTTCTTGACAGAGGCCTGAGACTTGAACTTTTTTGGCCTAGGCGATGGCGCCACTCTCTTGACTGTTGATCAAATCAACCATTCCCCCTTCTTCATCTGATTCCTGGGAGTTCCTTTGGTGTGTCTCATTTGGATACTATATCGGTGTCAATCGAAAGCGTATGACATGTAGGCGATCCATATTGCGTCAAAAGTCTAAAAAATTTTGACTTATTGCGCGTAAATGCCTGCTTTCGAGGATAAGAATAGCATTGTACTGAACGCCTTGTCATGCGAAGTGCATTGTCATGCGAAGTGCATACATTGATGGCGTACGTGGTAATTCATATTTTTAAAGTTGTACTGCTCATCTGGTAAAGGGTTTCGAGTGTTGGTGAATATTCGCTGGTAGCATTACAACGTTGGGAAAGGGACTCTTGAAGAGCGCAAGGGATATCTTGATTAATTTTAAGGACATTTGATGAGGGTATGAAGAGTGACTTTACCATGCCTAGTGGACGCGTTTGACGTGGCTAGCTTAAGTAAAGTAATAAATTATCGAATAAGGTTACTATTTTTACTGCGACCTGAGGAATTGATCCGATGCTTCAACCTTAATTGCGATGAATAGTATCAGATAGATTTTCAGCTAGTCCGTCAGACTTACTTGTATAATATAGATACTTACGAATGTAAAAAACGGTGATTCTTTTTGACAGAGATTTAGAATCCCATGACTGATCTGCAGACGTCATGGCAATTCCAGGGATCGCCATTGTATTTATACATGTACCCGGGAGTGGTAGATTCCATGAAAGTGACATATGTCAATTATCAATCACATATGGCAATGCCCTGTAAAAGACATGTCATTTCCAGGCCTGTACATTTTTTTCGTAAGGGGAGATGCGTGTATTGTAGTCAAAACACATATTGTCTCCTGTCTGTCAATGAGGTCTCAGACGAGGTGCATCCTTTTGGACATGTTTCATCTTAAATAGGTGTGTAACGGAAGAAAACGTGAAGGTTTTGGGGTGACGAGCCTGCCCCTTCCAGTCCTTTTCTGTCTCTCCCATCTGCATTTCGGGAATTATGCATGAAATATAATGTCTTCAATCGGTTGAATATCAAAGGGAATAGAGAATATCATATTTTCAAATAGCATTTGCAGTAGGCAGATCCATGAATAAAATTATAAAACTTTTTTATTATTGGTTATTTGTTTATTGGTAGCATGACGTGGTTGAAATCCATGATCGATACGGAGCCAAATTATGCATCTCCTGCTTAGCTGTTTTCAGTCGACTTGTATTGGCATTTGTTTGTTTCATGGGTATCCTGGAAACCATGTTAAAGTCAGCAGTATGGATTTTCATTGCAACACCTGCATAGCTCGTATTTTTCTATTCAATTTTTTACCATGTTTACGCTCATTTGGAATTCTCTGGCCTTGCGCGTGTACAGGGAAGTAGTCAAGAGAATTGGAATCTCTCCTCTTAAGGAATTGAGTTTTTATGGAATTGGTTGAATATATAATTCGAAATTCTCATGGGTTGATTTGACATTATCTCCGAATGATGCGCATGCAGGGATTTTCGTTCACAAAAGAATAGCAAATTTTCGAGAAATCTACAGATTTATTGCGTGTATGACTGACTGTGGTCATTGCCAACAGTTACCAAAGAAACAACATCCGTAGCTGAAAACGCCGCATTCTCTCGTTGATAGTTATGAGCACCTCTTGTGGGAAGGGATTTGGAACAATGCCATTCTCTCTCACATTCACTACAACATCACAAATCATTAGCTGATTAACGTTCGCACCTTTGCTACTCATTAGCAGCCAGTGTATTGCGTTCTATGAATGTGGAGATGGCGATGCTCAGGAAATCAACATCCCACTCACTGTTGCCCAGTAAAAAGCGTTCTGTGCATGTAGACATGACGATGCTCAAGTCACCATCTGCAGGACCACTGTCTGGCAGTTAGAGGTTTCCCCTAGTGGGTGATTCGTGCCGGAAGGGTTCTACTACTTCCCTACGCTCTCAGAGAGAGATTAGCAAATAGAGGAGCCGATACACTGGATTAATTCACCGGG